AACCAGGGACGCTGATCTCTCTGCAAGTAACTGGAGTCAGCCGTAAGATCACGGCTGGCTCCGCCCAGCTGTCAGAAGCAGGCTGTCGGCCAGCCATTGGCTGGCCGCTCGGCCAGCTTTGGCTTTCACCTCGGCTCAGTCGAGCCGAAGCATATTCGGCTCGTCTGAGCCCCCTGGCCGCCTTCGGGAGCTGTACAGGCTATAGTGAATAGCCCGTACAGCAGCCCTTCGGTTCTACTGAACCGAAGGGGTCCTGGGGCCGAAGCTAGCCGAAGGATCAGCCGAAGCTACGGCTAGATCCTTCGGCTGCTTCATGAATAGACGCCTCCATATTTTTTTGGTGTTTTATTGATTTATGTTACAATCTTATTGATGCAATAACACATTGAATATAGTGCTGTATGTTTAAATATTTTTTATCTGTTTGATATTGTCACAGCAGCTTATTGAGGGTGATTTTTTCAGTTTTTAGTTTAGATATTAATAAAAGCACAGGACATACATTTTTATTCAGCCTAACAATGTTGCCTATGAAAACTGTATGCACTATATTTTTGCCTGCAGTTTTGAAGCTTTAATTTGAGATATTTAAAAAAGGATTAATTCTGTAAATTAATAATAAATCACCTCATTATGTCCTATAGAATCTGTTGGATGCTAGGGATGACATTTGCATTTACTGTGTATCAAAAACTCCCAAAATCGTGTCCAACGCCTTTAGAAATGTTTGCAATTGCAAACGTAATAACATTTATGCAAACAGATTTATTTTTCCTCCGTGCATAACATAATGTGGTATGTGGAAAAAACGTTCCCAGATTTAAAGGTGAACATTCAATTTAATAATTTATTGTTTCAGTATGTTACATGAAAAACATACTTATGTGATATCCTTTTAGAAGGTTTTGATAATTTTATGTGGGCTAAAGAAAATGTTTTATTTACATAAACTAGTTATATAAAATCTGTGATGACAAAAATTTAAGGTTATTTTATTTTTTATGTAACTAAACAGGGACACCGGAGGTCAGGGGTGCAGGACATCTGCAGGTTTTCTTAGGTCAATTATCATTGAAGTTCCCACTGACTATCCATGAAAGGAGTACAGAACTCTGAATACCAATGTGTAAGTGGGAGCAGACTATTGAACACCAATATTATGGAGGTACAAATTGCTGCATATTAATGTATTAGGGGACACTGACCACGCAAGACTAATGTTATGGGGGTACACAGCACTAAACACCAATGCAATCAGGGCACACACCAATGAACACCAATGTTATGGGACACACATCACTAAACACTATCATGTGGGAGCACACACAACTGAACATCAACACTTAAATGGACACTTACTACTGATCGCTAAAATTTAAAGGGCACCCATCACTGACCACCAACATTATAAAGGGCACTGTATACTCTATGTTGTAAACTACATAGTTTTAAACACTGAGCTTAATACACTATGTTGTAAATTATTTTAATTGTCTTAAAAGTTTTGATTAAGTTCTTCCTTAAGATAGACCTTAATGCCTCTCATAGAGGCAGATCAGCAGTGAGTGAATAGCCGAGCGGCATTCGGCTCAGTTATTCTGCTCGCTACCCCCAAGGTAGCGAGCAGAATAGAAAAAAATGTAAACAAAAGACATTTTAATTTTTTTTTTAAATAAATGTAAAAAAAAGGAAAAGAAAGAATATTTTTATAAAAATAATAAAAAGTGTGGGTTCCCCCTCCCAAACAATATCAGACCCTTTAGGTCTGGTAGGAATGTTAGGAGGGACCCCAATTTTTTTTTAAAAAGAAAACAATGCATGGGGTTTACCCAAAAGTTATACCAGGCCCTTAAGGTCTGGTAGGAATTTTAAGGAATAACCCCAGCCCCAAAAATGTGGAAAAGAATGTGGGGTTCCCCCTAAAATTCCCAACCAGACTCTTGATCCGAACACAGGCCTGGCAGGGCAGGAAAAGGGGGGGAGTGAGCGCCCCCCCCCTCACTGCCATTCCAGGCCACATGCCCTCGGCACTGGGAGGGTGCTTTTCCAGGGTTGCCCCTGGAAAAGCACCTTGTTCCTGTGCCGATGGGGGCAAGGGTCTCTTCCCCACAAGCGAAGGGCTCTGACGGCCGTATTTGATGGCTAGTTTTTTTAATGATGAAGTGATTATTAGGGTCCATTCACACCTATGTGTTTTAATGCACATATTTTAACATATGTCCTGTGGCAGGAATCCCAGATTACATAATGTGAATGAGGCTTTAGTCTCACAAATCTGTAGCCATCAACACTTAAAATGGCAAAAAAAGAATAATTTAACAATACAACCACCTTGGGCACACAGTGGGATGTGAACATATGGAAAATCTCTCAAATGGGAATAAAGACATCAATAGTACATTCCTAGATATGTATCCACAGCTCATTTTACTGATATTTCCACAAGAAGCTTTGTCTTACTCCTAAATATTTGACATTGAGCTATTTTGCACATGGGACTTGGGACATTATGTTATCTTTATACAAATTCCAACACAATAAAATTGGGATTCTAAGCAATGAAAGACAAGGATGATATAACATATAGATTTAATATAAATTTAAAATCTTCACTAATAACTGAAATGTAAGAGGGAATTGAGTCATGCATTTTAAGAGAATATATTGTTGCTGAGCTAATATAGCAGTCACACATGTTATCATAAATTTATCATGCTAGCATATTATCATCATAATACATTGTGTGCTCTATTGTGCATACTGTAAGCACTGTATAGTGAGATAAAGAGATGTAGTATTGTATCAGCAACTATAGATTCCTGACATCATTCTTTTTTTTTTTTCAGATAAAGACTGGGAGTGACTAAAAACATAGCCAATGGCAAGGCATGCACATTGTCCATAGTTCAAATCCATCTTCTTTAAAAGTGCAATAGCACTTAGCAGTGTTAGGTACTGTCCAGTTCATCTGTGCTAACCTGAACCAACCATGACATTCTCTGAGGCTGAGAAGGCTGCCATCATCTCCATCTGGGGTAAGGTGGCTGGCCACGTTGAAGAGATTGGAGGAGAGGCTCTAGAGAGGTAATATATTAATTGTGATAATAAACTATGTAATGATATATACATTTTTACCTTTTCCATAGTCTTTTCCACAATTCTTTTCTTGTACACTATATGTAGCGTAGTTAGTGGTTATATTTTTGAATTATATTCTGTATTTTATGTGAACAAAAAAAACAATTTAAAAATATTCAATGATACTATATCAGTATATATATCAGTAAAAAAAGTATTATTGTATGATGCAATTTTGTTCTGTCCACACTAGTATTTTAAAAGCAGTTGAGCGTTCTAAATTTTTAAACATCCAGTTAATCAATGTATGTATATACTTGTTACTTCATGCTATTATACAATAGAGCTTTAATATGTTGTCATTATTAATTCTTATAATTAATGACAATTTTCTCTTTAATTCAGGCTGTTCCTCAGCTTCCCTCAGACCAAGACCTACTTCAGCCATTTTGATCTGAGCCATGGCTCCAAGGATATCAACAGGCATGGTGGAAACGTTCTCAATGCCATCGGCAATGCTGCCAATCACCTAGATGACCTTGACAATGCTCTGTCTGCCCTGAGTGACCTCCATGCTCACAATTTGAGGGTTGACCCTGGTAACTTCAGAGTAAGTTTTAATGGTGGTTTATAAATATTGATGGTAGACATTGACACAAACAGAAAATGGAAATAATGGAAAACACAATCACTCATACAAACACTAATCTAGTTGATCATTTGTATTACGCTTCTAAGTTAAAGAAATTAGTTATCAACAATTTCTTGCTAGCTCATTTCCAATATTCATAAGTAACTGTATTGTTTTCTCTCCTGTAGCTGCTGTCTCACTCCATCCAGGTGACTCTGGCTGCCCACTTCCCCAAGGAATTTAATGCTTCCGCTCAAGCTGCCTTTGACAAGTTCCTCTCTGCTGTGTCCTCTGTCCTGGTGTCCAAGTATAGATAAACTGGATCTTCTTAATGTGATACCTTGCCCTGAAAGAACTTAGCATGTGTCACATTCTTCAATAAACTGTATTTTATCAGTTCACAGTTGTCCATGTTATTTCACTTAACCAGTTTTGTTGGTTTAGATTTTAGTGTCCTTTATAATCTTAGGGTAATACAGTTTATATTCTTTACAAAGAACAAGAACTAGAGCTAACACACAACCATGCCAAGATGGTCACAATTCATAACCTGTCTTATTTTATAAAAGTGTGCGACTGTGCAAGAGTATCACTGCATACAGGTTGACCATTTGAATATATACAATCTTAACAATAAAATACCACTGGATCACTCTTCTTTGTTGCAAATACCTTTACATATACCTTTACATACATATATATATCATATATATATATATATGATATTGTCAAGTACTATGGGATTGTTTTACTAAAGGAATAAAAGCTGTTTGTGCAACAGTAAAATTGTCACTCTGCAAAGTGTATTTTCACTTAGCCTAGTAAATAAGGTAAAGTTGTGTTTAGGTACAAGGCAAGAAAAATAAACAGGTCTTTTGCATGCATATGATTGGATGATTGAAGTGAACAAAGCTTCACCATCTTTACTAAGATAACTGTACACACATTTTACAAAGTGAATACTGTATGCTATATTCCTTTAGTTTTTAACATCACATCCCTTGTATAATATGTTCGCAACTGTAGTGTCTGCTTTTAGAAGTTACCATTCATATAATATTAAATGCTGTCACTTATGAAATCTAGCTCCTTATAACTGTCATGTCAGAATTCTGTCTTTGGCATCAAGGGCATAGGTACTGGCAGCAATGACATGCTACCCACAGCAGGTGGTTGGCAACTTACATATAAAATGTAATATAAACGTTACCAAGGTTAAAAAGACTTAATCAGACGTTGTAAAATATACTGTACAGTACCTACAATAAAATAATGCACCTTGAATAATATGAAACCATTTTATTTAATGAAATCAAAAAGTAGTATGGCCTCCATCTGCAACAATGTATTCACTTAAGTTTGTAAGTACTTTGGCTGCAGAGGAATTGGAAAATTTCCATGTCAAGGTGGTGTGTGTATGTTTTTTGGGGCAGGGCACAAAGTGGTTGATTTACTAAAGGCAAATAGGCTGTTCACTTTGTAAGGGGATGTGGTGAAAATGAATTTGCACAGAGTACCCAATTACAAGCCAGAAAAATAAAAAAAAACAGTATTTTTGCTTGCACGTGATTGGATGATGGAAGTCGGCAGAGCTTCACATCATTAACTATTAAGAGAAAATTCCCTTCCAAAATTTTCAAATTCCCTTGCAAAGTGAACAGCCTAATTGCATTTAGTAAATCAACCCCATAAACATAAAAAGCAACAGTGCCAATTTTGAAATCATGTTTGAATGAATACAACATTGGAAAAAAAACACCATTTATTATAAAACAAGTTCTTTTGCAAATAACATACTAACAGATATACCAACTATGGGCAAAATATTAAATGTAAAGTTAATCAACTTCCAGTGCAGTCACAATAGTCAAAGTAACCCTACATCCACAACACCCGCCTCTTTCATCCACATCTCTACATAGTTCACTTTCCACAAATTACAAAAAGACACCAAAGAGTAAGGGGTCTATTCAATAAGCTGCCGTAGGCAGCCATGTGAATAACCGACCCGAAGTGAAGTGAGCCGAACGCTGCTATTCAAATCAGGCTGGTACGGCTGATTTCAGCTTTATATAGGCGTAAGTCAGCTGTACATCGGCTTGCTTCGTGTGGCTTCGGGTCGGCCAAACATGCTCAGCATGTTCGGCCGACCCGAAGTGCGGAAGGAGTTTTACTCAGCCGATCCAACATCTGGATCGGCTGAGCCGAACATCCGGCAGGCTAATCGCTGTTGTTCGGCCTATTCTCATAGATGCCGAACAGCAGTGATTGAATAGTCGGCTCGGCTATTCTGCTCGGTACCTCTGTGGTACAAAGCAGAATAGAAAAACAGTTAAAAAAGTAGAAAAAATAAAATAGAAAGCGATTGGGCGGAGCGGTTCTGCTGTTTTCTATTGGCTGGGCGGTTCTGCTGCCGTCAGAATAAAGAAAAAAAAAACCACCATAGGAATGCATAGCTATATTCCTATTGGCTATTTCACTTTGGAATAGCCAATAGCAAACTAGCTACTGCACCCGCCCTCTGCTGCTGTCAATCACTAGAAGGGGACCTGATGGAGAACTTCAGGTCCCCTCTGCTGATTGACAGCAGCAGTGGGCGGGTGCAATAGCTAGTTTGCTATTGGCTATTGCAAATTGAAATAGCCAATAGGAATATTACTATGCATTTCTATGCTATTTTTTTTCCTGACTGACGGCAGCCAGCGGCTCCGATGTCAGAAGAAGAAAAAGAAAAAAATGAACAGAGCAGGGAAAGGTTTACTCTGCTGGATCGAGCAGAGTAAACCTTTCTGTGAGAAAGTGTTTCTCTCCCGGGCGGCTGGGAGCCGCTATCTAATAGTGGGAGACTCACGGAAGGCCCGGGAGAGTAATGACAGATCACCGTCCCTGGTTACCCGGTAACCAGGGGACGCTGAGGTGTCTCTGCAAGTGGCCGGAGCCAGTCATGAGATTAGCCATGAGGCCAGCTGCGCCTTTCACCTCGGCTCAGTCGAGCCGAGGCATATGCCTTCGGCTCGACTGAGCCGCTCGGCCAACTTCGGGAGCTGTACGCGCTATAGTGAATAGCCTGGACAGCAGCCCTTCGGTTCTACTGAACCGAAGGGGTCCTGGGGCCAAAGCTAGCCGAAGAACCTTTATTTAGACACACAGTTTATCATTTTTATTTTTAAGAAAATACAAGCTAAAGAGACAGAAATCTCTATTTACTAAAAGGTAGATGTTGTTCAGTAAAAAGTGAAAATTTATTTTGCATAGTTTGCAAATAAAGAGAAGCTGTGTTTACTTTAAATGTCCAATCATGTGCAAGGGAAATTAGAAACAAAACAGGATTTTTTTGTACATGATTGGATGAATAATTATGTTGCAATCTAAAATACATCTTGCAAAGTGAACAGTCTTTATTTATTTAGTAAATCAACCCCATTGTGTTCACCTGCATTGGGTTATTGAGTAAAACCACTCAGGCAAGCATATTTGTTAGAAATAGATGGAGGTATTAAGGTTGATTTACCAAAGAAATAAAGGCTGTTTACCTAGTAAACTGAATATTTACTGTGCAAAGTGCACATTCCCTTTGCAAAATGCAAAATGTAAGAATGCAGGATTTTTGCCAGCACATTACTGGGTGTCCAAAGCAAACCCAGCCTACTTTACTTACTAACTAACTAACTTTTATTTTGCAAAGTGAACATTCACTTAGCTAAGCAAACAGCTTTTATGCCCTTAGTAAATCAGTCTCACTGGGCCTAAATTACTTTCATTAATATGCACATACGCTGGTGCATAATTTATGCATTGATACCTTACACCGGCGCCCGCAACTTCCCCACAAGGTCAGCGCTGCTGCCCCTCTGCGCTCTGCCGCCCCGAGGTCGGGCCTCAGTGGCCTTGTGGGAAATCCGGGCCTGAATGCATCCGTCATGTCCTTGAACACTCCCGCCCAGTCTATAGCCTACATGTGAAATTTACTAACAAGTGTAGGTTGCTATAGAATATATGCTCCAGTGCCCAGATGTAGGCCAGCTGAGCCATGGTGAGCCTACCATAAAAATATGATTTTCTATAAAGTGTTTGGATCCAACCACTGCTACATACCATGTAGGAAAAAAACTGCAGCACAAGCACACAGCTATCATTCAGGTCCCATTCACCCTTATCAGTTACAGTGCATTGCATTCATCTGTGTTACTGCAAATCATCATGCATGTGTTAGTACGTTGCATTGCCATCCATTTTTAAAACAGCACACATGCTTTGCAGGGCATCATAATGCATGGTAATGTAAAAGCATGCACTGAGATGTGCTGCATTGGAAAAAAAAGGATCATGTCTGCTGTTTGGTCTGTTTCATTGCATTGGCAGCCCATTCAAATAAATAGGTTCCCTAAGACATACAACGACTGAAATCAGCCGTGCATCGGCTTGCTTCAGCTGGCTTCGGTTCAGCCGAACATGTTCGGCTGAGCCGAAGTGCAGAAGGAGTTCGACTCAGCCGATCCAACATCTGGATCGGCAGAGCCGAACTTCCGACAGGCTGCTCGCTTCCATTCGGCCTATTCTCATAGGGGCCAATGCTGCCAAGCGTAACCACGGGACGCTGAACTGTCATTGCAAATGGCCAAAGCCAGCCGTGAGGTCACGGCTGGCTCCGTCCAACTGTCAGTTGCGAGGCTAAGCCGCTCGGCCAACTTCGGGAGCTGTACGAGCTATAGTGAATAGCCCGTACAGCAGCCCTTGAAGTGAAGGGCCCCGGCGGCCGAAGCTGGCCGAAGGATCAGCCGGAGCTCCGGCTGATCCTTCCTCTAGCTTTGTGAATAACCCTTATAGCTTATTAATATAACGCGCATTAACGTGTTAGCATAAAGACAGCACAGTGGACTGGAACAGTGTTAATGGGCCCTTGAGGAATCTAAACAAAAAAACCTGATTTGTAAAAATACTTATTGCTGGGGGGCGTGGCTAAGCGGCGCATGTGAGCAGACGTACATCCCGGAGCTCCGGCACAGATTCCTGTAACTATCCTGATTATCCTCCTTCACTGCTCGTTTCTGCACACTCTACCTACGACTACTGTTCCTGACCGCTCCCAGGCGCACGGACCTTCAAACGGGTCCGATATCGGCACAGATGACTAAGACGGGCGCTGCGGCCCTCGAGGCGGGCCCGAGATTCCAAGATGGCGGCGACGCGAAGCTGCAAACCCCTCACAAGGCCAAGAAGGACAGCGCCAAGGAGGTCGCCTCGAGGCTGGAGAAGTTCGCCAAGGGGCCCCACCAAAGGCCAGTCTCGTGCGAGTAAGTCGTGGGAGGAGGATTCT